TTTCTCCCATGGAGGAGCATTGGGGTCAACTTGACTCCTAGACCGGGAACCTCCACAGCGTCTACCGGTCGCCTTACCTTTTTTAGCTACGGCAGCGACTACTCCACCCCCTGAAGCTTCTACGCTGCCAGCCTCTGAAGCCACTCCCGCTTGGAAGTCGTCGTCCAACTCGATGGCAGAACCATCGTTGTCCACAAACATGATGCGTCCCTTTGCTTTCCAGTTGGGAGGCAGCGACTTTTTCCTACCATCCGTCGTGGGTGTCTGACCATGCCCCATCTTTGCTTCGAGGTCTAGGGCCTTCTTGCCAAACGAGGGGAAGTTGTGCATATTGATGTTGGCCTCACCTGCCAACTGATTCCTGAGAGGCATAGGAAAGCATCTCATGTAAGAGGTGAGTAAGACCTGGGGGTCATAGCGCACCCCAGGGACACAGATTAGACACTCTATTGCGTTTATGGCTTCCCTTACTGACTTAAACTACCTAGTATGCAGAGTCAAGATCGCATCAATGGCCTTTTGGGCCTCCTGAGGATCATGCCACCTCTCTTCCACCATCTTGAGGAAGTCATCCAATTTCTGGTTGACTGCCCAAGCACGGAAGTCATGACCGTATCCCTGTAACTGCACTAAACCGCTCAACCATCTTGTTGCACTCCCCTCTAGATAGGAGGGCAAGGTAAGTTTACATTTAACATAGACTGGCACTACCCTTAACCATGTGTCGAGGTCTTCGCCCCTCTTATCCCCTGTAAAGGGTTTAGGAGCAGTGATAGCCATCTTTGGAACCCACTGGCTATGTCCCGGTACTTGCACCATTCCGGGTTGTGGACCCTGTGGTGCAGGCTTCTGCACTAGCTGCTGTTGGGGCTGTGTACCCTGCGGCTGTGCAGGCTGCAAGACAACATGTTGCCCGCTTACGGCAACCTACGACGGAGGCTGGGATAACACTGTCTATACAGGAACCTGTACACTAGGACCTATTGAAAACCCTCCTGCTAACGGCATACCCAAGGAAACGGTTTGGACCGATGTTGGGGAGACATATGGGGATACCCCAGTCACCGGTGGGACATAAGGAGAAGGTTGTACAACGGGCCAGGCGCTGGGCTGGAACAGCGATGGTGCTGCATGAGCTCGCCCGACCAACAAAGCCAGACTCTGCTGGATGTCCTGAAGGAGAGCCGTGTGGTGGTCCTGCATTTCTACTACATCTAGCAGGACGGTCCGTAGGGTCCTCACATCATCATCCATGTTCGTCAGGTCCATCTCCTCTAACTCACTAACGTCTACTTGTCTCCGCTGCATCCTGGCTCTTATTCTAATCTTTCTTTCCTTCTCCGCCTTTATCTCTCCTAAAAGGCATTCCGCACTTGTGCCTCCTACAGTGCTGCGTGCTGTATGGCGATCTCATCGGAAGTCAACACTAATGGCCGGCTTGCCATGACGCCAGTGGACTGACTCAAGGTCTGTGTGACAGTCGACCCTACAGTCCCTGAACTGCTGGCCTGGGAACTCTGTTGCGCAGCGGTTGCCATGGCTGCTGACGCAGCGGCTTCACTTGTGAATGCCCTGCTGGCCTTCGCTGCTGTTGTTGCCTCTCCCTAAGCTGGCGGAACAGTAACCTATCACCCTCGGGTCCTAATGCCAAATGGGCAATTGGGCGTCTAGCCGATCGCAAGATCCGGTCGTCCTCACTAGTGGTATCCCTATCGCTCATAAGCATCAGAACTGTACACAATCTGCACTAAGTCACTCTTTGATGCTTAACACAGCGTAGTGCACAGACCGATTTAAAATAATTGAACTAATTAATCGATGGCTGCATCCAAGAGTATATACATTCGGGTCCAACAGGTAAGTTCAGGTTCCTACAAACGAAACTACTTTGACTTTGCTTAGTTCGCAAACAGAAGCACAATGAACAGAAAACAGTTATAAACTATGTTGTCTGTCACATGTTAATGGTTATACATATAACTTATCAAAATAAAAATAGAATCATTTGTTGGATCTGTTTGCAGAATGGAATATTGCCCAAACTTATCACCTGGAATCTACCCCTCCCTCAGTTCTTCCTGAATGTCTCTTGTCGCCAAGGTCCCTAAGCAATCCGGACAGCGTGTGTATCTAAAGGTGTGCACACGGCCCACCCTTGTGCCCCGAGTCCTACTGAGCAGGCCAGCCTTGCACAGTCTTTATCCTCGCGTGCAGCGAGCCTTACACTGACCGATTGGCTGATCAGGAGGCGTTTTTATGGACGGCCCCCAAAGTCCTCAGAATTATTTAACGTCGCAAACAGGACGACGATCACAGCCAATGGTGCTTGTTTATAAACGCCCGGTCTCGTCTGTCCCATAGGGCTGGCCTGCCCTTCAGAACCCCTCTACAGCGCAGCGAGCAGACAAAGGACAAAGCAGCAAAGCATGCGTGCTCTACTCCCGGTGGGTTGGCATGGTGACCGTGACCCAGTGCTTCGTCCAGGGCCCTTCAGATAGCACCGCCCTCTCCTTCCAGACGCTCCACGTGAAGACTGGCAACTCTCAAGGTTGAGCGCACACGACTCCTCACATGAGAGGACTCTCAAGACAGAACACACATCCTCACGGTAAGAAGTGTCGAAGAGGGTAGATAAGGTTAGGTGCAACGTACCTCAAAATAGCTGCCCCCAACCACAAATATTCTCACCAGATGACCCGATGTTGATTGTGATGACCAATCGCTGCTTCGGCACAACCAGCATTGCACCACCGTTCCACCTCAGCATCAATCAAACACCGTATAGTTCCCATCACACTGTGAACACCCAATCTTCACCACTTGGCCTTCCTGGCGAACCCCTCTCCACCTGGGTCTCCAACTTGTCTTCGCCCTCCTCACGACACACGTCCCACGGCACGATCGCTCACCACACACCGCGTGCATGTACCGCATTAGGCAGAAGACAAGCGCCAGATTAGAACACCGAACCACAGCTCCGATACCAAATTGCAAGGAAGACGAGCAACAGCAAACTTCAGAAATCAAACAACATCATACACATGAGACGAGATAGTCGTGACCTCGAACCAATAGCGGAATTGCATCACGAGATTCACCCAAATAAGAGCACACCAAAAGCTCGTAATTGACAATGCTGGAATAGTCTCATCATCATAACGAAGAACCAACGTTGATATCCTATCTGGCGCTCGGCGCCCAGACTACGATGGCAGATCCTATCTAGCCTACTAGACGATGTCGCTGATGACGTCAACAGCTCCCCGAAGTACGAGCAGATCTTGGACAATGCCGTACGCTTCAAGCACCAGGTATGTTTCTCATATCACTCACAACCTCGTTCCCCAACTCAAATTGCCCCATGCACCCAAGGACCACCATGCGCCCCATCCAGCATACAGCAGCGCAGCTCGGCTATGGCTGCCTGCTCCTTCCAGCTCGCCCGTGAGCGCGTGAGCCTGGCCAGTGTTAGCGCAGCAGCGCTTGCGCAGCATGCAGCCAGTGCCCAAATGTCCAATGCGTGGGCAGGCCCTTTCCTAAATGGAAATGGCCTGCCTGCCTTGCTGCAGCCTGGCTGCGCTGGGCCCCTGCCCAGAAGCTTCCGGTAGGCACAGAGAGGCTGAGCCCAGACCAAATGGATCAGCCCAAGGCCTGTGACAGTTACCCGCGCCCAACTGCCCGCAGCCTGAGTTGGGTCCATGCTGCGTATCTCGCCCAGGGCCTGACTCAGATGCGTTTGATAAAGGAGGCCAGGGCCTGGGCGCCTTCAACCAACTGGCGCTGCGCAACTGCCTGAATTTTCCCCAGTTGCGAAGTAGTCCAAAACAGGCTTCTTGTGGTCTGTCGAGCCTGCCTTCACTTAGGGCGGCCGACACTGCTGCAAATAGGGGCCCAGTACTGCTTATCGAGGCCTTGTGCCTCGCAAAAAGGGATGGTATGCTCCTGTGCATTTCTATTCAGGCCTTCATACTCCGGTTCATTTCACTTCAGATCTTCAGCTTATACTTAGTCTTTGTGTCCGTCCTTCATCTTCGTACTTCCGTTCATTTCATTTCTGATCTTCATATCGTCTGTTCTCTTAACGATGCTCATTCGTATGTACTTGTTAGTAGCACAAAGGGAGTGGAGGGGAACATGTTGCGTTGAGGAGCAGTTAATGCCTATTGCAAGCGGCCACCGCTACAGACCGGACAGGACCAGTTCGGGTGTGGACTATGGAAGCACCGCATCCAATTCTCGCAGTCAAAGTTGCTGCATCGAATGGCGCGGCGCAGACAGATGTCACAGGCTACATGGCTCCTACATGCTAGGTACACAGAGGCACGTCGACCACAATTATAGAGGCATTGCCGTTCCAGCCCGTCTACAAATTGGACATCACATGTCAGGGTGCCGTACATGAGTACAGTACTGACTGTCGCGCGCGCGTGTGTGTGTGTGTGTGTGTGTGTGTGTGTGTGTGTGTGTGTGTGTGTGTGTGTGTGTGTGTGTGTGTGTGTGCATGCATTTTAGTCAGGCAGTGTCTAGTTGCCAATGGAAAACAACAGACAGGTCAAGAGCCAGCAGCCCTTTCAACAAACAGCATCCACTCATTGGCACTCCAGGGTTGGAAATGGCCGTTTCGACAGGGCTACTAGCCGTACTGTTGTTCGGACCGATCGCTGTGAGTAGCCCGAATCCCTGTAAATGACTGTTCAATGAATTGGCAGCGCCTCATGGACGACAGTTGCGGTTTGTTCTAGCTTGCCCATTCATGAAGCAGAGTTCCTTTGAGGGTCCAGATCTGCCCTTTCCCTTTTAAAAGGGTTGCCATAAAGGGTGCTGAAGCGCCCTTTTCTCCTATTACTTGGTCACTTCGTCATCCTTAACTAATTTGATCTACAAAGCACTAAATGAATGTCATTGTAGCATGTACCAGCACAGGCCACCCATTTTGTTCATGTCGTTGTCAGCATACACCTTATATGCATTGCACCGATGAAGACGATGTCGGTACGCACCTTCTTCCTGATATAGGAGTTGCTGTTCGACAACAACTTTTCCACCTCAGGGGCAAGATCACGCGCCATCTCAGCTGAGCATATGTTCCCCATGGCGCAGAGTGCAAGGCCCACAATGTACTGATTCGAATGGTTCAGATCACTGCATCCCAACAGCAAATTGATAGCAGTTCACAGGAGAAAACAGGACGGAGAAACACACAAAATTAGCCTGCATTTGTCTGCTGCCTGCCCATCAATAAGGCAACCGAAGCTCTGCAGAGGAACAGCATTCCTCCCTCATGCAGCTGGTGGAGCTCGCTACCGCCGTAACCCGAATACAACGTACGGTCATTATAGCTGTATTTCGGGCAATTTTGGGTCTACATAAAGCAGTAATGACCGTATGTTGTATTTGGGTTGAGCATGTTGTATTCGGGTTAAGGTGGTAGACATCCCTACGTCCTTCTGGAATCCGACGCCTCACCATGGGGAGTTTATCTTTACCATCTAACTACTGTCGTCCGTTTTCCCCCCTACAAAACCCACGCATAGTCTACAATGCCCGTGCATATGTTTTCTACAAAACCCACACAGTCCAGAACGGCCCTGAGTAATGTTTCCATAAGATACGTGGTCTATATTTGGATGGGCTTGAAAAGCGCATCTGCAGGTTTTAAGAACTTGAAACAGGAAAGTAGTCGCACAAAGTTTGTTTGTTGTCCGGTCAAAGAACCCATTGTAGTTGGTTAACTTGCTGCGGGGTAAAGGCAACTATGGGGGGTAATAAGACATCTCACAGGCACTCCATCATTTCATCAGGCGAGATTTCCAGATTGCAATGCACATACATATGTTAGCGGGGTGGGCTGATGAAGTGGTTCCTATTAATACACGGAGGGAGAGGATAAATGATAATACCACCAAGGCTTATCACACACTGAACAATTCATTGATCCTGGATGAGTCAAGGTCAAGGGTGGCCAATGAACGATAGACGTGGATGGATTGACTGACGATGGAGGGTGGCCGATGAAAGAGAGACGTGGATGGATCAATGGACCGCTTGTCGACCCATAGGCACAGGTACGTATATAGATGAGGCATGGCTGGATGCATGCCAGTGGACGGATTAGAGGAATAGATCAATGTACAGAACACGAGCAGTGAAGCAGATGGATGGATGGATGGATGCATGGATGGATGGATGGATGGATGGATGGATGCATGGATGGATGGATGGATGGATGGATGGATGGATGGATGGATGCATGGATGGATGGATGGATGGATGGATGGATGGATGGATGGGTGGATATTTGTGGATCAACATATACGATATGTACAGTATACTACGTATCAACTAGATGACCCATTGCGGCTTCGCCCGCAAAAACAGAAAAAGAAAAAAGCACATAAGAAAGAAAACGCATAAGGAACTTCCCTATCATATGCCGCTTCTTCCTTCACAATCTTAAAGCGTGCAGCGGGTCTCGCGTAACGCTCCCACGGACAACCCCTGCCCGGTGTTGGGAACGGCGTTGAAGCAAAGGGCGGGCGGGTCTTGCGTAACGCTCCCACGGAGACCCGCTGCCCAGTGTTGGGAACGGCGTCGGAGCAAAGGGCGGGCGCGTGGGCCATCCGGGCCGAATCGTGCCATTTGGAGTCGCGGGACGGACCGGGGAGGAAGATTCGGGACGGTGGGTGGCGGGTCTACTGTGCGGTTTGGAGTCTTGGGACGGACCGTGGGGGAAGATTCGGGACGGTAGGTGGTGGGTCTACTGTGCCGTTTGGAGACTTGGGATGGACCGCGGGGGAAGATTCGGGACGGTGGGTAGCGGGTCGGGCGGGGAAGATCCGCGATTATCGTGCGACGGGTCGGGCGGGGAAGATTCACGATTTTCGTTTATTGCGTGGGGGGGAGAGGGTGGTTTCAAATTTGACGTGGCTTCGGTGTTTGGAGTTTTGCGCAGCAGTTTGAACGCTAGCCGCCCGCGTTCGGCAGTCCCGCGCTCGAAGAGAGAGAGAGAGAGAGAGAGAGAGAGAGAGAGAGAGAGAGAGAGAGAGAGAGA